AAAGATGAAAAGATATGCAGGGGCTAGATCATGATGGTTTTTGTATATAGTGTTAAGGAGATGGGATGCTATAGCTTAGCCATTGTTGAAGATTTTCAAGCAGGTCAGTTTACATGGTCACATTTATATTTTTGAACCGTATCTTTGGCAGAACTTGAGGACAAGTTTTATGGGGCAATGTTTGATGTAGATAGACTAGTTAAGACGTTATTTTCCACAGTTAAATTGGAGGATTGATATGGTGGTGGCAGAAGAAATAAAAAATAGATTAGAAGTTTGCCTGGCTGGCTCAGTCGGTAGAGCATCCAACTCCTGATCTCAGAGTCCTGCATCCAAGCCCCACATTGGGCATGGAACCTACTTTGGAAAAAAAAAAAAGAAAGAAAAGAAAGTAGATTAGAGGTCTACAAAGTAAAAACGACATAACTAATCTTATTAGATAAGGTATGGTGGATTAGGAGAACGCAGGATCAAAGCTAATTACCAAGTTCTAAGTTTTTCAGGGTTGGCATACTAAAATCTTTGAGCCAAATCTGGCCTGCTTCCTGTTTTTTGTGGCCCATGAGTCAAGAATAGTTGTTACATTTTAAATGATTTGAAAAAAATTCAAAGAAGAATAATATTTTGCTAAATGTAGAAATTATATGAAATTCAAACCTCTTTGTCCATAAATAAGGTTTTTTTGAACGCAGCCACACTCATTCATTAACCTCTCTCTATGGCTGGCTTTCATACTGCAACAACAGATGAATAGTTTTGACAGAGTCTGTGTGGTCTGCAGAACCTAACCTATGTAATGTTTGGCCCTTTACAGAAAAAGTTTGCCAACTCCTGATTGGTAGATGGTTGGTAGCACTCAGATTGGGAATATTGGAGAGAGAGTGGATGTATATGGAGAGGAGAATGCATTCAGGTTGTTTCAGGTTCCTATGGGGGGCCACTTACATAGGGAGCAATTTAGGATGCAATAGGATATGTAAGCGCAGAGAGGTAAGGCTAGAATACAAATTCAGAAGCCTTAAACATGACAGTAGTAATTGAAGTTACGGGTGTAAATAAGAGCATCCAAGGAAATCATTTAAATTAAAGACTACCCTGAGGAATGCCAGCATATGAGGTATTCTGTAGGAATAGCTCACAAGAGTCTGAAAAGGAATATTTCAAGTGTAAGAAAGAATTATGGGAGCTGATAGAGAATTTTCAGTCTTCCTTATTGTGGTAAAATAAACAATAACCACAATTTACCATTTTAACCATTTTTAAGTGTATAGTTCTGTGGCATTAAGTACATTTACGTTCTCGTGCAGCCATCAACACCAAGTTGTCTCAATAACTTTTTCATCTTTCCCAACAGAAACTCTGTACCCATTAACCAGTAATTCCCCTTTCCCCTCTCCCCCAGCCCCTGGCAACCACGATTCTGCTTTCTGTTTCTGTGAATTTGACTACTGTAGGTACTTCATATAAGTGAAATCATACATTATTTGTCCTTTTGTGACTGTCTTATTTCACTATGAAGAGGAGAGAATTTTAGGAGGTAGAGATCCAGTAGTATGGAATGCAAAATAGAAGTTAAAGAAGAATTAAAAGATATTGGTAGAACATAGCATTTGGGACACTAGGTTGCTGTGTAAATCCTTTCATGAATATAATGGAGGAGATAAAAATCAGGTATCACTTAGTTGATGGTAGAAAAGGAAGTACAGATCATTCTTTTGTCAATATAAGAAGGAAATGGGTGTGGGAAGCTAGGAATTACAGTGGTGGGAAGGGTTTTATTTTTTAAGATGGTAGAGATTTGAAAATGCCCGTAAGCTATGTAGATTAAGAGTAGCTGAGAAATGGGATGTAAAAGACGGAGCAAGTACTTAGAAATCTTGATGAAATTAAAAACAGGTGTAACAGTAAGAAAGCTGGAATGGTGTTTTTAAAGAGTTTAAAAATTTGAAGGTAAAGCATTCTGGGAATTATTCATTAGTAATTGAATCTTCTGCTGTGTTTGCTATGATGACTTTTCGTTTATTTTCAATAAAGATGATCAGGATAAAAAGGTGGAAACTCTTCTGGCACCTTCAAAAAAGCAAGAATCATTACCCCTCCATCAAGAGACTAAACAAGAAAGTGGATCAGGAAAGAAGAAAGTTTCTTCAAAGAAGCAAAAGGCAGAAAACGGTGAAATGTGTAGATACGTATTTTATAAATACTAATTCTAGAAATGTATTTTAAAAATACTAATACTAGCACAGGGGCCCTAGAGACCTCGTATGCTCTTTAATTCCCAGCTTAATGTATATTATAACAACTGTTAATGCTAATGCAAGTCCAGGGATATCTTGAGCCTTGGGGTTTTGCAGTGCTTTGACAGATGGCCATGGTCTAAGTTTGTGATGAAGAAGTTTATCTGAAATTTAAAAAGGACAAAGCATTTATTAAATATTCTCATTCTTTTTTTTTTTTTTAAGATTTATTTATTTATTTGAGAGAGTGAGAATGAGAGAGAGAGAGTACATGAGAGGGGGGAGGGTTAGAGGGAGAAGCAGGCTCCTCGCCGAGCAGGGAGCCCAATGCGGGACTCGATCCAGGGACTCCAGGATCATGACCTGAGCCGAAGGCAGTCGCTTAACCAACTGAGCCACCCAGGCGCCCCTTAAATATTCTCATTCTTAACTGAGTTTTGAAGTAATGTAAATAGCACACAAATTATAGAAGAAAAGTATTCCTGAAACATTTGTACTTTTAAATATTACTTAAAGATTTTGCTGGAGGACATTGGCTAGATCTGTCATTACCCTATATTCCCAATTATTTCCTCAGCATAGTTTGTATGTATATATCAGAAGCATCCAGTTAACAGTGATGGAGCAATTTTTATATGTTCAGAATTGTCTAGGGAAAGCAGTTATGAAATGAATGTAGATTAAATGGTGATATTCAAATAATATTGGGCTGTGGTATCAACTAGTGCTAGAAAATAGTACAATTGGAAAGGGAAAAGATGAAATTCTGTTATTTGTATTAAAATTATGACATATCTAGGAACTAGGTATAGAAAAGTATTACCCACAAATATTTGATGATCTTAAATATTTATTAAAATTTTAAATAAAAAAACTATATATGCCCAAAAGTTTTTTTAAAAAAGAAGAGAGATTCTCATTTGTGTGTGGAAATATGTGTGTGGAAATTTATGTCTCTAGTCAGCAGACATCAGACTTCAGTGTTCAAACTCTTAAAGTTCTTCCCATTAAAATTGGGAACAAAGTGTAAGGAGGCTTCCTACCTCCACTCTTAATGTTGTTTTGCAAATTTTAACCATTTTAGTAAGATGTGCCATGGAAATTACAGGCATAACTTTTAGAAATGAGATGATATCTGCAAGGAACAATGACTGAGTTTTGTACCTGTAAAGTGACTCAATTAAAAAACTAGCATTTGCAGTAAGAATTCAGTAAAGTACCAGCATAAATACAGATTAATAGTTTTCCTTGGGCACCAATTAAATGTGAATGGATTTTTAGTTAAAACAGGAAGAAAATGACTAACTAAAATGTAAAGGATGTAGAAGAAATCTTCAGATACTATTAAAGAGGAGATAGGCCAACACACTTTTTGTTAAATGATGTACTGTAAAATACTATTGAACTCTGGTACTGCTTTAATTAGAGTGGTTTGACTTGTTAAGTGATAAAATAGGAATTTAAAGCCAAGTTGGTGTTAGATATTTGAAAATAACTGCATTTATCATTAAATTTCAATGTGTGTGCTTGTTATTAATTACTCCATTATATAAAGCCCTGAGTAATTATAATTTTGTTGAATTTAAATTGCAGTCTTGGTAGATGAACCCCTTATTCACGCAACTACTTATATTCCTTTGATGGATAATGCTGATTCAAATTCTGTGTTGGATAAGAGAGAGGTTATTGATCTAATTAAACCTGACCAAGTAGAAGGAATCCAGAAAACGGGGGCTAAAAAATTGAAGACTGAAACTGACAAAGGTAACACATGGCATGCAACCATTTGTTGTATTGAAGAAACACATTTTTGAGTTCTGGTGGAGTCAAGTAAATTTTGTCATAGAAACAATGAGTTGTAAAAGAATAATAGAATCTTTGTAGTGAAAGGCTTATTGGTAGTTTTCTAGTCCAGTCTGCTAAGTTCTGTAGAGCTGGACCCTTGAATTTGACTTGCCCGAGATCTCACAGTTATTTTGCTCTCTGGTGATTTTTCTTTTTTTTCTCTTCAACTGTTGTCTCTTGTGAGGTTTCTATGCTAATTCACAACCACCTTTTATTATTACCTTTTTTTTTTTTTAAGAGCAGCGGTAGCTTCACAGCATAATTGAGTGGAAAGTACAGAGAATTCCCATATACCCCTTGTCCTCATGCATGCACACATCTGATTTTTTTTTTTAAAGATTTTATTTATTTGACAGCGAGAGAGACAGCGAGAGAGGGAACACAAGCAGCGGGAGTGGG